CAAAATGAAGTTAGCAATAACGCAAACAACGACTAATTTTCAGACTGTTGCAAGTGCAATATGAAAACATTCAGATAAAATGTTGAGAAATAAACAAGTAGATATTCCGAGTCATTTACATGATGTTGAAAATTTTAATCATGTTTTTATTGATTCTATACCCAGATCTAAACCACGTGAACAAATTTTCCAGTTTTATAACAATAATACTACATCCAAATTTTGTTTTTAAAGAAATTAATGATTTATTTGTGTACAAAATTATCTGTAGTATAAAAACAGGTGCTGTTGGTTGTGATGGATTAAATATTTATATGATTAAGCTTTGTTGTCCTCATATAGTATCAATTAATTTTTGTTTAACTGAAAATGTTTACCCTGCAATGTGGAGGAGTGCGGTTGTACCAGTTCTGCAAAAAAGTCAATTCCAGTAGATTTAAAAGATCTTCGCCCAATTAGTATACTACCCATACTACATTATCAAAAATTATTGAACGGGCAATGGAATTTCAAATAAAAAAACATCTCCAAATTTTTTCCCTAGTTCCTCCTATTCATTACGGTTTCCGGAAAGAATATAGCTGCACCACTGCTCTTCTTTCACACTGTAGATGACATAATTAGAGCAACAGATAACGGTTATTGCACGTTGCTTGTTTTAATTGACTTGAGCAGTGCTTTTGACACTATTAACTATGATTTGCTTACTGCTATATTGGGTTATATAGGATTTTCTAATAGGTACCTACTGCATTCTTGCTAATAAATAAATAATTAATTGAAAAATAGACAACAAAAAGTTCTCTTTTAAATCATTAATATCATTTATGGTATCAGGCAAATAAAAAAGACTCTTTGTCAATCACTAGTTTTGTCCATATTTAATTACGATGATGCTCTCCACTGCTCAAGGGTCAAAGTGACAATGCTGCATTAAGAAAAAAAGTTTGCCTCCCCATACGAACAGATCGGACCATTACCGACAATCGTCCCGACATAGTATACCACACTTATTGACATCGCTATTCCCAGTAATCAGAACATCATGGTTAAAAAGGCGGAGAAGATTTCCAAATACAAAGACCTTCAGATAGAAGTACAGAGAATATAGAATGTAAAGGTCAAGTTTGTGCCAGTAATAGTAGGTACTTTGGGGCTAATCAAAACAGGATTTGGTGACCATCTAAAACAAATCCTCGGTAAAGAAAATGCATTCGAAGTCCAGAAACTAGCATTTTTAGGTTCTGGACACATCCTCCGAAGAATAATAAATTGATATATAGCCTACAAAATATTTTTACAACCTATTAAAATCTTTGGTAAAGCTTCGGATAAACCACCTACCCAGCTGCTTGAGACTGATGTAGTGCAACAAGATTGTTATATAATAATATTGAAACGGCATTATAGGTGAAAGTTCTTTTAAAAACTGATAATCAGTACCTCGGAATCGTTAAGTTGTGTGGATATCTCAAATGTAAAATGTGCAGATCTTTCCGATATATAATTTTTTTTTTAATATATGGGAGTTGAGGTTGAAAGAGTTCGAAATACAGTGGCCGCCATCTGATATTTAAATAAATTTCCTGTAGCGAGTCAGCTAAGTTCTTTAATTTTATTTGATATTCTGTTATACTTTATGATACCAAATACGAAACGATAACAAGAGTTTTAAATCTTTTGAAGTCTATATTTGGTTATTTGATCCAAACATGGATTGAGGGAAACTGATTTTGTTCCCTTGAGGGTTCTTTAAAAGGATATGCAGTTTAAGCTCCTAGAACGTTTATTTTGAAAACAAACAGAATTTTAGTACCGAACGAACAAAACAAAATGATTTATATTTGACGAATAAAATTCAAAAGATAATGACATGCAAGAAAAGTCAAAGCCAAAGTGTAGACAAAGTCACATACTTTGATTTTCTTTTACTATACGGAGAATGGTCGCACTGCGCAGCTTTCTGAGTGCCTTTTAAAAGGAGATAGAAAACTCCGCCATTTTGAACCCTTATTACGTGTTGCCTACATCTTGACGCAATATTTTTAATAGGTGCGTTTTAATCATCCGCTTCTGCTTCGGAATTGTCGGTTTTCTTGTTTTAATCTGACAGGTTAAAACGACTAAACCGACAATTCCGGAAGCAGAAGCGGATGATTAAAACGCACCTGATATTTTGCTTGCTGCTGTCAGTGTCAGTGAATATTATTTTTGAAGTCACAGTTGCTAAAGAATCAGTTAGCTCACTCAGACCAGTTGAAAGTTCCAAAATAACATCCACTCCAGGGATACAAATTCAGGATATGCAGAAGACTGCTGTTTTATTATAGGCGGTTGTTATATATTGTATTATCCGAGTTGCACAGTGTATAAACTGAAACATTGAGATCAAAAGTGCCGACGCAGAGTGAGCGATCTGATTCTTTAGCTGTAAACTGTGTCACAGGGTTCAAAATGGCCGCACCCTATGTTGGGCGTGTCGGACCACTCTCTTGCCTCGTTGCCTCGTATGGTAATCAAATGGTGAGTTCGGTCTACGCACTCTTTTCACTATATTCACTCCTAAAGTACCTAAGGCGTTCGGGTACGGAAGGAGTTAAAATAAAAGTTCCTCTTTGACCGTTCGGAGATGGTGGAGTGGAGTGTGGATCGGGCATGCGCATAAGGTGATTTAAATTGATAATAAGTTAATTGTGAGTGATTCTTTAGTAAATAAATTTTTTTTTGGTTCCCGTGAATATCATTAATATGGAAGAAATTTATATAGGGTCGTTACTGACAAGTACGATTAAATTTTAAGTACTGGTATGTCACATTGACAATTGACATTGCACTCCGAGAGTTAAAGGAGTAAAATCATATTCGCACTCCGTTTACGCCTAATTACTACACTCCACTCTGGAGTGCGCAGCCCGAACTCACCTAAAGTATGTGGGCCAAAGTAATAATTAACATCTTCTTTTTTTATTTTAACCAACCATGCCGTCGTCACTTCCTTGTGGGCCGCTCAGTCAACAGTTGCGCAGGGAATGTAGACGCTGGACATAGGCAACACACAATAAGTTTGTCTTACAGGATAATAAATTAAAAGTCCATACTTTAGGATGGATAATACAAGACTTTCAAAAACCAACTTACGTAATTTGAAACTCAAAATATCTCGATTCCGGTATAATTGATTTTTTTACTAGAAGCGAAACATAGTCCTGAAACCTTAGTTTGCAATCATAGATAATGCCTAAGTTTTTGGCACTTCTACATGATTTTAAAAATGTTAACTGATGTTCAATCTGGATTTAGGAAAGGGTATAGTTGTACAACGGCATTACTTCATATGGTGAATGATATAATTGGATATAATTGGAGCTACTGATTTGGGTCAGTATACAGCTACTGATTTGGGCCAGTGTACAGCTTTAGTTTTGTTAGATTTAAGTAGGGCCTTTGATACTATAAATCATGAACTTTTACTAAGTATTTTGCATCATATTGGCTTATCACTCAGCAGTTACGTTATTTCGTAAATATTTTTCGAATCGTAACCAGAAAGTTTCTATTAACAGTAAATTTTCAGACATTCTCTCTATAAAATGCGGCGTACCTCAAGGATCAATTTTGGGTCCCACACTATTTGCTATATCAAGTTTAGTCAAAATTGTAAAGCTTATTTTTATGCTGATGATACCCAAGTATATTAGTTTTATAAATGATGTAAGTGATCATTGTCTTCTTATTAATTCATCTAAGTCAAATGTACTGATTTTTGGTCCTAAACTAAAGAGAGATATAGTTGTTGAAGATATTAGTATCGAAGTGAATGATCAACTTATTCAAATAAACGAAGAAGCTAAAAGCTTGGGAGTAATATTAGATCCGAATCAAAGATTTAAAAAACATGTGAATAACCTAATTCAACGAGCTTATTCTTATTTAAAAATGACCTATGGAGTTAGACATTTTATTTCACAAAAAATTAAATTACTTCTTTGTGAGACACTTGTGTTATCTATATTTAATTATTCAGATACAGTTTATGGTCCAAATTTAACAAACTACTTAATCCAAAATTCAAATAATTCAAAATTCATGTTTAAGATTAATTTATGGAATAAGAAGACGCCAAAGAAACTCCTATAAATTGAGAGAAGCAGAATGTCTTAATATGAAAAATAGAAGGTTCTCTCATTCTACAAAACTTTATTTTAAAATAATCTCAAGAAAAAGACCATCTTATCTGCACAGAAAAATAATATTTCGAACGGATGTGCATAATATTAATATTGGGTATAAGGGAACACTTACTCCGCCTATATTTCGTACAGAATATTTTAGAAGATGTTTTAGATATCAAATTTGTCTCGTCTATAATGTCATTCCACAAAAGTATAAAATTATTAGTTATAATTCCTTCAGAGTAAAACTTATTTGTGTTGAACACTCGCCAATATTTTTCTTTTTTTTTTTTAATGGTTTGCTGCTCTTTTATTAGTTTTTTATTAGTTTTTTATTAGTTTTTTATTAGTTTTTTATTAGTTTTTTATTAGTTTTTTATTAGTTTTTTATTAGTTTTTTATTAGTTTTTTATTAGTTTTTTATTAGTTTTTTATTAGTTTTTTATTAGTTTTTTATTAGTTTTTTATTAGTTTTTCTATTGGTTTTATTAGTTTTTTATTAGTTTTATTAGTTTTGTTGATTTATTTTCCCTTCTGTTAATTTATGTGTTTTTAATATTTTTATTTTTCTTTTCGTGTCATAGGGATATTTTCTTAAGGGTTAAGTGGTAGAACAATTCAGTGACTATGTTTCAAGCTTAGCAGCCGAATTGAACTTCGCCCTTTGCTTATTTTAAATTTATTTTTCTTTTTTTTTATTTAATATAAATTTATTTAAAGCAATAAAGACATTATTATTAATATTATTTAAAATCCTTATTGCGCATGAGTAGCTGTCAATTTAACGTTAACACTATTATCGCTTCACATTATAAAAACATGCGAAAACTCTCTAATGCGTATTTTTACTAATGTCAATTTTATTACTTAAATTACAGAAAATCAATTTAAAGATAACATTATAGTATGATAGTTTATTCATATTATTAAATTCGAAATGACATAGCCAATTTTTATATAGAAGCGAAATCTACGCCTCTTTCCCCCACTTCACTTCACAGTTTTAGTTTGTTTTCCTTCCGCAACATTCATGTCCGACGTTCCTGCCACTAAATCCTTGTTACCTTCTTGAATTTGAGAGGCGGTAGTACTTTCATTTTGTTTATTATAAAGATGGCTAATTTTAAAATTTATATCAGTGAGGGTTTCCATTCTCTTTTTTAAATCCGATTCGTTGAAAGAAGAATCCACTGTTGGATTGTACAGTTTTTTTAAATTGAGATTCATCATTTCTACTTGAACGTCCATGATTTCTCTGATAATTTCGATACTCATTGTAGCGTAACAACTGGGTCGGACTTCTCTTAAAACGGAACTCAGCGTCTCTAAAGTTTCGAATCTTTTCTTATTGACGTCGTATTGGGAATCTAAATCTTTTTCGTAAAATGCGAGGTATCTGTATAACTCGCTAAGTTCTAAAATAATATTGACGTATTGCAGAGGATAATCTCTTAAGGTATAAAATAAGCGGGCACGTTTCAACCATTTATGGGTGTGGGTGAATAATTCTCGAGCTTCTTGGATGTTGTTTATTTCTTTGGTAGGAACTTCTGGCAAATGAATATCCATTCCTGTGAATTTAAAACCGTTAGAATCAATTTTTTTCTCTTGGCGTTTAACTTCGTCGTTTTCATCCCAAACTTTTTCTAAAATTGATCGTCTGCTAAGACCAAATAGTTGAAGACCATAGTTAACCTAAATAAAAATAAAATAACTTATAAAAAAACATGAATGGCTATCAATTTTGCATTACATTACTATAACGTCAAATAAGGAAAACATAATATACAGTGAGCATCATAAGTCTTCCCCCTCCTATCTAACTCGTTACTGGAGTCTTGTTAGGAAAATCGCCAAGACACGTCGATTTTTGATTTCTACAATGTACATTTTTGTATGAATAGTTTACCCTTAAGTTCACCCCTAACTGGAGGGGAGCAATCCTTTCGAAAAATTTAAATGGCATGGGGTGGTGAGTGATAGCTCATTTGAAAGAAGGTTTTATTCTGTATTCAATTGTGCAAAAAAAAATTAAAATTTGCTTCATTAATTCTCGACTAATTATTGTTTCAGAATAACGGAAATTAACGTAGCGCACTCATCCTTAGGCTCTGCATGATATCGGTTTTGGTTCAGACGTGAAGTAAGACTTTTGCAATTAGATAGGGTCACTGTTAAGTTGCTTTCCTATTTGTGATGTTTTGTTATTTTTAAACATTAATAAATCAACACGTAATGTAGCAAATTTAATATTTTTTTGTACGGTTGAATAGAGAATAAAACCCCCTTTCAAATGAGCTATCACTTACCACCCCATGCCATTTAAATTTTTCATGAGGGTTGCTCCCCTCCAGTAAGGGATGAAATTAAGGGTAAACTGAGGGTACGAAAATATACATTGTAGAAATCAAAAATCGATGTGTCTCGGCGATTTTCCTAACAAGACTCCAGTAACGAGTTAGTTAGGGGGGGTGAGACTTATGATGCTCACTGTATAAAGCAAAAACAATGAGTACATAAACAGTGAACCAAACAAGCAGCCCAACGTCGTTCATAATGGCAAAGTCGTGTAGTGCACGACGGCGCCAAAGGCGCTAAAAAGCTTCAAAACTCAAAAGTAAAAAAAAAATATATGATCTAGTTCGGCTGTTAGAACATGAATAAATCTAAACGAAAGGCTGATTGTATTAAAATTTTCATTTTATCTACAAATTAGCATTGAAGAATGAGGTATAAATAGAATGTCTACCTCTTTACATGTACTCCGTTCTGCAAATAAAATTACTGCACTCCTTTCTTCTTTAGACTTTAGGCAGAATCGTGTAGCATTCCACTGGTGGGGTATTCAGTGGTTGAGACAAGCAAATTTTCTAATACGACCAAAAGCCCGCAAAATGAGAATACTTTCAGAGGCGCCAAACGACATTGACGGGCGCTGATGGGTTAAGAAAATAAATATATGTGGTAATATAAATAATTTTAAAATTAATCAAAATATTTACACTACATTCTAAGTATAACTCTGTGTAACACATTCCAACGTTTCTTGTACTTGTTCAAATATATTGGATGTCCAAATTTGACATTCCGATTTAAATTGACCGCCATTTTTGATAGTCCATGTCAGTATTTTTATGATGACATATGTCAAATAAAAGCTTTACGGATACTTGTTTTTTGGTCAACATGGAACAACTGTCTATCGAAAAATCTCATTTTTATTGTGAAAACTTATTACTACCAAAATGGGGAATGTTTTGCTGAAACTGCAAGAAGATGCCTTACGCATTTCGGAAGAAATTTAGCACCATCTGTTAAAGTTATTGGGAGTTTTATAAAGAGATTTCAACAACAGAATATGGAGTGAAGAAAAACCAAGAGAAATATTGGAAAAACGACTGTATCCAGTAAATGTGACTATGTGGTGTGGTTTTTGGTCCAGTGGCGTTATTGGTCCCTATTTTTTTCAGAATGAAGCTGGTGATTCTATAACTGTGAATGAAGCGCTTTCCAGGCCAATGATTACGAGATTATTTGTGGAACGAATTAGAAGATATGGATGTCCAGAACATGTGGTTCCAGCAAGATGTTGCCACTTGCCACACATCGGATAAAACACTAAATCTTTTAAGTGAGACATTTGACATTGAAATAATTTCTCGAAAAGCTGAGGTTAATTGTCCGCCTAGGTCGTGCGACCTTACACCATTGGATTAATTCTTGTGGGGCTTTTTGAAGGGAAAAATGTATGCCAATAACCCTCAAACACCTGAACAGATTCGAGTTAACATTATTCAAAAAATTGAACAGAATGTTTGCAAAAATGTTCTTGAAAATTTTGTAAAAAGAATGTTAGCATGCCAAAGAAGCAGAGGGGTCACATGCCGCATATCAATTTTTATTATTAACCGTAACATTTAAACTTTAAAATAATACAATAATATTATATTATTTTAAGGACTTTTTGTGTTTTATTATTAAATTAAATCCGAAGGTCAAATTTGGACAGCCTTTACTATAAATGACATTTGAGTTCGCGTAAAAAGGGTGAATAGAGTAATATAGTAATATATAAATATAGTAAATATAGTAATTTACAAAATAAAATATTCAAACTAACCCAGACTCTCGCCAAATCCCCTTGTGCTTTAAAAAGCATGGTATTCGGAGTTGTTGTCAATTCTAAAGGATCAAGAACAACTTGAGCTGCAGCCAAATGATATCTAGCATTTTCCCATCTATCCTGAGCGATAAAAAGAGACGCTAAACGATAGCACCTCGTCGCCCAATGTACAGGATCGCCATCATTTATATTTAACTCTTCTTGGAGGCTTTTGTGAAGCGTTCTTGCGTATTTATTAGTCATTCCCAATTTGCCGTATATCCATCCCAACATCTGCATATTGTTAATTTGTAACTTTTGCAATTTGATTTTTGAAACAGCCTCTACTGATTGATTGGATAGAAATAGGTCTTCGGTACTGTAAACTATAGGATCAGATTTTAGTTCATTATTGACTACCACTTCTAAAAGGTTTTTCGCTTTTTCAAATTCGCCCATTCTTGATACGACATATGAAAGGTAATTTACCACTCGTAGATAAATAAACGTTACTTGCGGATTATCAATGTAATTATTAATTAAATTCAAACTTTTTTCTAAATACGCTTTAGACTGATCGAATAAGTTCGAGTTAAGACAAATTTTGGCTTTTTCATATAAAATAGAAGTAATCATCGACAATACTTTACAGTAATCCGGGGAATCATCCTTTATTTTGGTCAAAATCGCATCTAATTTAGCTTCCGTAATTTCAAATTCATTTTCTAATTGATTTTTATTAATTTTACTTTCCCCAGAACTATCCACTAGGTTTGCTGGTTTTTCTTTATCAGTTGAACATTTAATATTCTGAAACACTTCTTTAAGTTCATTCAATATCTCTATATTTGTAGATTCCATTATATTATACAAAATAAAAGTCAGAAAAATGACACTAAAAATTTGGAGTAATAATTAAAGTAACCAAATTTTTTATAAGGCCAATAAGAAGAGATGTTTATGGAATAAGAATTATTTAAACGAACCAATCAACTATTAACTACCACATTGATAGATCTTTCTCGTAACTGGATAAACTATTTGAGGAGAGAAAATTATATTTACTGAACATTCTAAGCAATATTTCGAAATTGGATTTAGAAAGTTTAAACTGAATAACTATTATCAATTTTTCACCTTCCTGGAATTTCTCAATCTTATCAGGTATATCATGTTGGTAAGAGAATAACTTAAATAGATATGACATAAACACTATTTTGTAATGCGCTAGTTCAGTGTGATGTAATTTTGCTTCCATTGACATTTAATTCTAACCAAACTTTTAACAAAAACATCAATAAATTTGACATATACGTTTTTACTGTTTTAAGTCTATTTGTAAATATTGTTTACAGGTCATAAAAAATAGTTTAAAGGTATGTAATTTGTAACTAAACGATTGTATATTTGATGCATGTTATCTACTTACTTTAGGAATATATTTATAATAGTGAAAAAACGATATAATTTAGGTAAACAAAACGAACAAAACGCATTCAAAAAATCTACTGTCACTTTAATTGTCAGTGGAACCATAATTACATCATCACTGAACTAGCGCATATGACAGATGGATGCACTATGAAGTCTAGAGATAGTCTTCATAGGATGCACTTAGCGGTGCCAAGAAAATTGCATATATAGTTTATCAAAGAATGCTCATGTAATGCTCATCCATACGCAAATAAAACGATGAAAAGCGGGTCTTTGTCTAGTACATGCAATGTTTGTGTTTTGTCTCAATTATGAAGACTAGTCTTCATAGTCCACATACTTTGATTACTATACGGTACAAGAGAGACGTCCGACACGCCCTACATTGAGCGCGGCCATTTTGATGCCTTTACTACTAGGTTAGGCAACACATATTTTTCTAAAATGTTAAACTGGTAGCCTACATCTTGATATTTTGAGATTTTAAATGAAGGCAACAAATGTAGAAGAAACGTTTATTTATTTTAAATAATATACAAGAAACTTCTTTTAAGTAAAGTTATAATTGCAAGTGCATCATGAAATAGAGGTGAGTAGTTTTAAATTACTTCTAAAGCTGTGCATATGATTTACCTTAATATTATGATATTTCTCGCCAGTCCCATGAACAAACATTTTATTTTTGTAATGTAATAAAAATCTTTGAGGCTAAACAATCTTGTATTTTTGAGCTGTAAATATGGTACAAAACTATAAAATAAAAACAAAGAAATGTAAGATTAAAGAAGCTCTAAAAGATATTACCAGAGGAATATACTCTTGCAGGCAAGCTGCAATAATTTATATAAAAAGAACGACACTTTTATTTATACCCTCGAAAAGTTCAAGCAAAGAAATGGTGAAAATGCAGGAAAGGAAATCGAATGTAAAAAAAATTAAAATATGGTAGTAAACAGGTTTTTATAAACTAACATAGGAACTTTTGGTTGAATATCTACAATTCACTATGGTTTAAACTATGCTCAAGTGATATCTATAGGATACAAGTAATGCCAAATATATAATATGCACAGGATGTTCTAACTCTACTTTTGAGAGGTTACAGCTTTCTTAGAATAAGGCAACGAGAGCTATTTTAGGATGTAGCAGATATAGCATTTAGCTTATGTTGACTACGTTGAACTGGTTGAATATGGGACAGTTTATATGTGCAGGAATGACCTTTATTTTTAAAATAGTAAATAATGTATTGAATTGTCAACTTACTCCTATTTCTTACATACATCAGTACCATACAAGAACTGCGAATTCTATTAATTTTTGTGTTATAACAAGTAGGAAGGCAGAGTTCAAATTAATCAATTATCTCATGATATAAACTCCCTTTAAAAAGCTAAATTATTTTAACAGTAATTAGTTATGTTAAAACTTTCAGCTAAGTCTTCTTGTGTGTTTGTGTTATTTTGTCATCGCTTATTTATTTATTATGTATTTATTTTCAAATACTCTTATTTTTTGTGTGAATTAAATATGTTTTCTAAAAATGTTTTAAATCTTGGTGATGTACCTATACAGAACATAGTGAGATGATGCAGTCCCTATAGTTATATTAGGTATTTAAATGTTTATATATATAAATGATAAATAAACATTATTATTATTATTATTATTATTATTATTATTATTATTATTATTATTATTATTATTATTATTAATATTATTATTATTATTATTAGATAGCTACTTTATTTTGAAAATTAAATATTTTGAGTTTGATGTTAATTTCAGTAAATACCAAATTAAGTAGTCATATTTTTATGTTGCTTTTTTACTTAAAATTATGTGTGTAACAGTCACAAATAGTTTTTTTTATTTACAATACACATCATAATTATACCTACTAAAAATATGTCAAATGTGTCCCCACTCCCCTATGTACTTTTACAAATGAGTCAAGAAATAAAATATATTATTTAAAAAAATTAATTAATAAAGTCCATAATTCATTGAACATAAATGTAATTCTTCCTTAAAGTGGCTATGGATCAATAATTTAATGTTTATTGGCATAAGTAAAAATATACAATAAAGTAACTTTAACAATTCAATATAGACTACTGATTAACTGGATTAGACTGAAAAAAACCTTGTACATTCAAACTAAAAGTTTAAACATTTATACAATTTAACAATAGTTAGAAAAAAGACAGACGATTTCTAATAATATATGCAGATTATGCTTGTGTATCTAGGAATGTGAAATTAGATTTGAATTGTGTTTATTTTCAAATAAATCAATTATGTCTTCCAAAACTGCCTGATTATTGAGAGTAAAGATTAGTTTTTTGAAAAATGAACTTAGGATTGAGTAGGGTTTCATTAAAAAATATGATATTTTGGTAAAGTAATAGTAAAATGTCATTATTTTATGAATATTCAACATTGATCATAAGAAGATGAAGAATAGCTAGATTATTTCATTATTTCTTAATCTCAGTTTTCAACTTATTTACACATTACAAAACTATGTACCAGAAACATAATATAATGATGCTTGTTCTTGTTCAAATATTTCTTGAAGATCATAATTTGGCTCAATTAAAAAGTTGTCCGGTACTTGATGTTTGATTCTGAATGGTTGAGTTAGGTTGTTTATAACTGATGCAAAAGATAGCTGGTTTGTCTTTATCTTATAATTTATTTGAGCCATACACATTGAATTTGTAACAATTAATTTTTTTAAAGGTAGCCTTATGTAGTTGTTAAATTTTTAACTACAACAGATATATTGTTCATCTACAAAAGAGTCTTTTTTCAGTTGTTACACAGGGTATTACTGCCACCTCAGGGCTTAGGCGGCTACTGAGAGCGTCGGCAGGTGGCGGATGGCCGAACGGCCTGCAGCGATATTTCATCCTGCAGGTTATCACCGAATACCCAATAAGGTGACGCTGACCAACCTTCCAATCCAAAGGTGTCACGTGATCCGTGCCGAAAGGATGCATGGTGGCGAGGGAGCACCACTGCGAACGGAGCATCCGGGAAACCAGGCGACCTCCCGGCAGTAGCTAGCCTTGCTGCGGCATGCGGGGCTCTGCCATGGTTGACCACATTTTCCCTAGCTACTCGTGGGATCTGTATGGAAGACGATCAAAAAAACAACGACGACGGGGACAATCCCCTCGATCGCCAGGAATCTGTCGATGAACCGATGGAGATTTCTTCAACCCCATCAAACAACGTCATTCCGGAGGAGATGCAGGATGCCATACTAGCATCACCCAACTTCAACGGAAATGAAACTCCGGTGGAGAAGGTGAAGGTACCAACCTCCTCTAATAAACCTGAGAGGCACGCCAAAAGGTTCGCCGGAGCGACGAGAAAGCGCCTCAAAATGATACTTTAGCGTGGCATTGACTATCAATCCGCCCTGAAGCAGATCCTCAAAGAGTTGGAGGAGAAAAGGAGTGGTAAACCACCCCTCTCGAGTCCACCTAAAAAATCTGGACAACCGGTGAGGGAAAAAACCCCACCAAAGGAGTCCAGAACCAAACGTCAACGCTCCGACGACAGCATTCCTAAAACGGAACTTAAAAAACTCCGTAGGGATGCTGTAGTCGAGCCGAGACGATCATTCAAGGCCGCGGCGGAGACTGTTCGAGTGGGGATTATTCACCCAGAACACCTGACGTCCAGCTTTCGAATGAACAGCTGCAAGCTATACAGCTATCAATCATGAGAGCTGTAAAAAGACAACCTGTGGACGGACCTCAAATCCGTTTCCAGGGCTGCACCATCAGACCAGGTCATCTCCTTCTGGACTGCGCCGACGCTACAACAACTCGGTGGCTAGAAGGAGCCATGGACAAACTTCGTCCATGGAATGATGCACGTTTAAAGTTGGTGCAAGGTAAGAAAATACCAAAGCCGTTTATCTGCGTGATGTACATCCCTGACGATGTAGGATCCACCGGATTAACATGGGAGCAAGTAACAAAGCGGTTCAGGATATTGAACCGAGGCCTGCGAACCCAAGAGTGGACCTGTCTACACCTGGTAGCCTCAGGCCAGCTGAGTCACACCTGGACGCTTTCCATCGACGCTGTCTCGATAAGAGAGTTGGAATGGATGAACTTCCGGCCCTACTTCGGCTTCGGACTGGTGCAATTCCGGCTCCGAGATTGCAGAGGCGCCGTGGAGAGAATCCCAACAACATACTCTCAACAGATGCCGTCTGTCTCGGGAACCTCGAGTAGGATCGCCAAGGACGCAGGTCTTGAAAAGATCTCTCCTGCCGCCATGGAGACCATGCTAGACCTAACCCCTCTCTGCTGGAAAGGGAAACCAGAATGATCTCCTACAGGCTCCTGAAAGTGGGTAGTCAATGTTACGAAGAACTGCGGTGGGATAAGACGGGGCTGATGAGTGAAATTATTAATCACCCCATCCTCGGCATGGTCTCGGACTCGCTAGTTCCCCGACAGCACATAGACAAGCCATACAGCGTCCTCATTCCAGAGAGAGACGCATGGAGCAAAGGGGAAAAAACCCGCTTCCAGGTAGACTATGCGTTGTACACGGACGGCCCCAAAACTGAAAAAGGAGTAGGAGCGGGAGTTTTCGGCCAGAGGCCTAGAGTTGACATATCAATAAACCTAGGCTCTCTGGCCACGATCTTCCAAGCATAAATGATTGCTATAGAATTGGGAGCGAGAGAGTTGATCAATTTTCTCCCCGCAAACAAGACTATAAAGATGTTTTCAGATAGCCAGGCAGCCCTTAAGGCCCTGAGCTCCAATCGAGTTGACTCAAAGCTGTATAAATACCCTAGAGTGTCTCGGTGCCCGGAACAAAGTTACTTTGATCTGGGTTCCGGGACAAAGTGGTGTGGAGGGCAACGAAAAAGCCGACGCACTTGCTAAAAGAGGAACCGAATCTGTGTTCATAGGACCAGAATCATTCCTGGGCATTGTAAAAAGCACTGCCAAAGGAATTATCTCAAAATGGACGGAGGGTGCAAAACTCACGAACTGGAGAGATACCCCAGGGCTAACCCATTCGAAGGCGTTTATAACCAACCCTTCCATGAACGCCTCTGCTCAGATCCGAGAAAGAAGTAGGAGAGATCTGACTGATGACAGAACACTGCCGTCTGGCCAACCACATGAGAAGGATAGGTCTGCAACAAACATCGGACTGTCGATTCTGCAGCGTGGAGGACGAGTCTGCAGATCACATTTTATGTACCTGCTCCGCTCTGGAAAGAACCAGGTTCCAGATATTCGGATTTACTCGACTGGAGCCTACCGACTTTAAAGAAGTTTCACCCAATTCAAACATGACCTATAAGTTAGTCATGAGCCACAATAGACCCATCTATTACTGCCACCACCACATCCACCAATATTCTCATTTTCAAAGATTACACAAGTTTGTTAATTGTATTAACATTAGATTGCCAGTGTACATTTTCAAAACTTGCATATCTCCCTACTTTCTGCTTCTATAGCAATCGATGGTCTAGCTATGGTTTTTTTAGTCAGTCGACTCAATATTGTAAAAAGGATGTCGACATATGGTAGCTCTAGAAGACGTTTTTGTTACTTTTATGATTCCTGTGTAAGTCAGTGGTACTTTTGCTTTTTAGAAATTTCCATTTATCTGAAATTTTTACAAGGTTTACTGTACCAAATAAAAAAATTATAGGTCATTTTCTGTTCCAGATATACTATTTAGCAAAGGGGTCTATTTTCTCAGCTGAGGACTACCTCTACTTTCAGGTGTGTAGATAAGCCACAGGTAGTAAACCTGAAATAAATAAAACAATTATTGTAATATAAATGTTCCGAAAAGCAAACAATATTACTCACATTTTTATTTATATTATTTCGTTTGATTTTAATATTGCTCCCATCTATTGAAATAAATGCTTCAATTTTCTTGGTATATGCCTTCTACAAAGAATTGGTTCATGACTGATCACATACCTTCTTACCTGAGAGTAATAAGCATTTTTCTCAAAATGCTGAGAAGAGACATAACGAAGTTTAGCTAAAGGTAATTTCTAAACAATTTGATTAATGGTTTGTAACCACTGTTCATGTTAAGTGCTCGAGATTTTTAGGAGACCTGAAAAATAAAAAGCTTTACAATAATAGGAACATAAATAAAGTTACTGTTACTTACAAATGGAAAGATTTAACATAAGATCATCGAGTAAAGCAAGGTTCTCAAGATATTCATTATTTGTTAATGGTTTTGTAAAGTGTAGGTTCGTAAATAATATCTTTGGGGACTGACTTTGGGTAAATATTATAACATAACCACTAAACCTATTGCGCCAAGATGTAGACCAAGGGCACTCAAGAAGCTGCGCAGTGCGACCATTCTCCGTATAGTAAGAAAAAATCTAAGTATGTGCAGTAACATTACTACAGGGGATATATTTTGTGGGTAAAGCTTTTCCAGTAGAACATCCTTTTCTAAATCTTCGGGTTAAACGGTTATCTGTGAAATAATTTAATTTGGTTATAAATTATTGTTTCAAACATTTTTATTATACGATGCGAATAAATATCTTTAATTTCAATTCGACTAATAAGGAGGTGGGTTGACTTAGTGGTTAGAGTTATAGTCTAAGATCCAAAGTAAGGTCGACCTTCACCCATCTGTTTAATGGATAAAAGTTTCCTTTTATAAAATAAAATATGTTTATAAATATACCGCAAATGGGTTGCCTAAGAAAATACGGTCCAAACTATTTACTTTCTTAAAGTAAAAAAATGACACCCTGTAAAGTATTTCCTAGATGCTTTGACTATGTCCAAACTTTAATCAGCTCACCGCAGGATGGATTAAAGCTTAAGTTTAAAATTTTGTGTTTTTCTCTTCATCCGGTTTTGAGTTGTCTTCAAAATTCGAAATTTACACTTTTTCTTAAATATCTCGAATTAGGTCCATTATAGGAAAATTATGTAAGGGTTAAAAATAATAGAGAATGACATCGTAAGCAACTTTTATCATGATTCCTATACTTCCCTTATCTGTACAGAGAAAGGAAAGTAAAAAATGGCCGTGACCGTATTTTCTTAGGCAAACGGTATATTTAAAAACATGTTTTATTTAATAAAAAAAAACTTTTATCCATTAAACAGATGGATGAAGGATGACCTTACTTACGGATCCTGAACTATTATTACTTTGAGATCAAAAGGTCTCAGGATCGAATCCCACCGGAGGCAGAAATTTTAATTTATTTAAAAAAAAATTAAAGATTAATTCTAATGCGTAGGGTAGGATTCCACACTCGCCCATTCACTGTTGGGTTTTAATTAAGAGTGCTGTTCCTAAAGTGGTGCTGGGAAATAGTACCAAAGCCTACACAGAACACACATAAATGAGAAGATAAACACAAACTGATACTGGCATATTAATTATATACACCTAGGCCATAAAACGAAAAAAATAATTCGACTAATAATCGGGTACGGAGATAGATGAGTATATCACCCTGTACATTATCACTTTTCATTTTTGATTTTGATCGATTATTTTTCGTTTAATTATTATATTTAATTTTGTTAAGCGAAAATTTACATACACTTATAGATATACCGATATAATACATTACAATGTAAACCAAAAAAAATACAAAAGCATTTGGATTAGATCACGTTTTTGTTTAGTGTGCATATTTCAAAATGAAGGTTTTCATTTTTAGTGTGATTTGTTTGTTTTCAAACACTTGGGCTACCCCAAATGAATACACCTCAAAGGCAGTTCATTTGGCATTGAGCAATGTTGATTTTGGAATATTGCCAGTAGAGCTTGTGGAAAAAATTACTGCTACATTTGATAATGAGGACGTAAGGTGCGTATAAAAAAACTGGATGTGTTTATTTTATGTAATTATTATTGATTACAGTGGTTGCAGTGTATAAGATTTGCGCCTCTTATAAATTTGAAATATTTATGGATAAAAAAACATAATTAGGTATCAAATAAAATAATTATTTTTCGTATACTCGTGCAAATAGTTATTACATATGTAGTACTATTTATCGAGCACAATTTTAAAGAGTGAATCAGTAAAAATAGACAAGCCGCTACATTATGTAGGCACCCGAATGTCTCTTCATCTACTGACAAGAAATACCGGATTGTTCAATAACGGCTCGCACGACATAATGTTTTAAAAATATTGATTTTTGTAAAAAATTGTATGCAGCTAACCAATTTTGATCAATGTTAATTTAAAAGTAGATATTGTCCAATAATTGTTCAATAATTTTATAAATTATTAATTGTTTGTATAAGAAATAAAGTTTGTATTGTTTAATAAGGTATTGGTTAAATATTATTAACTAAAATTGTCACTGTATATTTTTTAAAGGAATATAGGCAATTTAACGCTTTTATCGACACCAAACTCATTAACTCATTATTTTTACTCGAAATACTTTTGAATATTTCTTAATTAAAATGTTTTGGTGGAAGTTGTATAGATATAATAATTTATTTACATAGTAATCGAAATATTTTAACGTTTCAGGGTAGGAGACATTTCTGCACTCATAAATACATATGCAGACCAAATAATTGTCAATTTGAGGAAATACATGATCGACCACAACATTAATGATGTGCCTTTAGAAGATCAACATTTAAAGGTAATTTATAAACTAATTAAAATAATTATTTAAATTTAAAGTATATTATGCAACAATAAACATTATTTTTAAAATAATTGTGGATATAGCTTCTTCTGCGCTATCTCAAAATTGTTGTCTCAGATCACAAGTTGGATAGGTAACCGCTAGAAGTAATTGGATTGGACTATCATTTAATTATCTAACATGTGGTATGAGTTTGTAAGTAACTAGTGACACAATGAGCCTTGGGAATTACAATGTAAACACGTCTAAGCCGAAATATCGTGAAATATATCGCAAAAGAATAAAAAATAACAATAATAATATATATTTTAATTTAAAAAGATAAAAGTATTGGGCCAACACCGCAAAAAAATGAAAAAGAAAGCCTAAAGGCAAACCGCAGACACGTGTTTCTGACTATTGGTCTTCATCAGTACGGTGCAGCCAAGTTCAAAAGAGAATGGAACTAGCGATAAAATCAAATCAACAGGAGATCACTTAAGAAGTAATCACTGGGAATGTTAGCTGAGTCCATAAATGTGTGGTTGGCTTTTTGAGTGATCTCCTGTTGATTTGATTTCATCGCTAGTTCCATTCTCTTTTGAACTTGGCTGCACCGTACTGATGAAGACCAATAGTCAGGAACACGTGTCTGCGGTTTGCCTTTAGGCTTTCTTTTTAATTTTTTTGCGGTGTTGGCCCAATAATCCTTTTATCTTTTATAGTTTTTCACTGCAATAAACCTTCTTCTCTTGTTTAGTTTCCCTGGGCTTGGATGCATCTTCATAGCAGCTCTAACTGCCTCCGTGGCGACGCTAATATTTTCCTAGTTATCACTGGGAATGTTAGCACAGTCCACAAATGTGTGGTTGGCTTCTTGAGTGATCTCCTGTTGATTTGATTTCATCGCTAGTTCCATTCGCTTTTGAACTTGGCTGCACCGTACTGATGAAGACCAATAGTCAGAAACACGTGTCAGCGGTTTGCCTTTAGGCTTTCTTTTTGATTTTTTTGCGGTGTTGGCCCAATAATCCTTTTATCTTTTATAGTTTTTCACTGCAATAAACCTTCTTCTCTTGTTTAGTTTCCCTGGGCTTGGATGCATCTTCATAGCAGCTCTAACTGCCTCCGTGGCGACGCTAATATTTTCCTAGTTATCACTGGGAATGTTAGCACAGTCCACAATTGTGTGGTTGGCTTCTTGAGTGATCTCCTGTTGATTTGATTTCATCTCTAGTTCCATTCTCTTCTGAACTTGGCTGCACCGTACTGATGAAGACCAATAGTCAGGAACACGTGTCTACGGTTTGCCTTTAGGCTTTCTTTTTCATTTATTTGCGGTGTTGGCCCAATAATCCTTTTATCTTTTATAGTTTTTCACCGCAATAAACCTTCTTCTCTTATTTTAATTTTATATCCTTTACAGCTAAAACCAACTGGTAAAATTGACTTGAGAAATGGACACTTAAGAGATCTAAACACGATAGGCAGAAGAGAAGATATTAGAGTTAACTATTCTTCAGACAATAAAAAAATTTGGCTCACTTTGCCACTTAAATTCGATGATATTAAGGTAGGTTTTAATAGGTACTTTTTACAACATAAGTACTGTTCAATAAAAGGGGTGCTTTCTAAGCATAATAGATTTACAAGTAATTAAGTTGATTTCTTATACCGGATAAACAGTAAGACAACCTAATTTTAATATATTATTTTACAGTTTAACTATGATTACCATACAAAAGCACTTTTCATTAGTATACATGGAGGAGTAGAAGGATCAGTTAAGGCAATTAGTGTAAACGCTGATTTAAGTTTTGATTTTAACACTCACCACGCCTTCCTTGATCATTATGACATGAAGGACTCCGGGTAAGTTAACTTGGCTACATTTGATTTAAAAGGACTACTGTAGATGACAATTACTGTGAAAACAAACAAAAAGGTCTGTCATAAATAACTCAATTGAACATAACTTACCTTAATGTAAATATGCACACAAAAAAAGTTACAGCCCTTGAAAGATACAAAATGAAAATCGAGTTTTTCCAATATTTCATGAACTGTTTAACATTTTGTAACAAAATGGATACATGACTTTCTTATCGCAAGAGAACTTTTTTTTCACATATATGCACGCAACCTGCACAGCCCATAAAAATTTTAGGAGGATTTTGAATCCCTAAAACCCCCCAAACTTTTCTATGCGTTGCAATTAAATTAGTATTGTGATACCATTGGTTTAATACATCATTTTTAAATTTATTTGCTTCTTAGCACTTTTTCGAAAAGCCACTTTTTATCGAGATGCGGCCTCTTTTTTATTATCCTTCAAAATTTTTGAACTTGGCTGTTCAACACTTATATATATTCTTCAGATAAATAACAAACAGTTGCTTTAACAATTACATACTGTCAATTGAAGCTTTCGATTATAGTGCATTTTAAGAGTGTTAAGAAAAATTCACTTTCTGTTTGGTTAAGCTAAAACAAGAATTATAGACCAGTCAATGAAAACATCCAATTTTGAACATTTCACATTAACAAATAAATTGCAAAATTTGTATTATTTTTAACATTATATCAGATTTGCAACTTTTTTGAAAGTGCAGAACATAATTTTTTTTTGTAAAATAGTTTTTGTTTATATCGAAGACAAAAAAATTTCAAAAGTGATGCAAACCAATAACATAACTCAGACAAGTTTTTGGAATAGCTATTCGAATTTGCAACCTTCTATTTTGAACGAAAATATTTTTTTTTATAAAAATACCATTATAATTTTTTATTTTCCTCTAATTTTGTCAAAAAAAATGCAAAAGTTTTGAAAATTGGTTGTAAATGCTATTATTATTTTTATTAATAATCTGGGATATTTGCAACCTCGGACAAGGTCCGTAACTTTGAAAAATTAACAAAAATCAACAATTCGCACAGGCCAAAAAATTTGAAATATAGAACGATTTAAATACCTTCCAATAAGTAAATACAAATATACAACGCTCCAAGATTAATGTAAATTAATAGAAAAGTGTCTAGGACAACAAAAAATGCACTGGGAAACTTAATACCCCCGATAATTTTGATGAACAGAATCAGAGAAAAACCAGAATGGAATGATAATCTTCAAGAAGGATCCATTCTTATGATGACCGCTAAGGGTAGTATGACCACGGAGGCTTTTTATTATACATTAAACATTTTGCGAAATTTAAACCGGAAGGCAAAGTGTTGCTCATATTTGATGGTGCTTCATCTCATTTAGACTGTACCATCGTAGAAGAAGCTGATAAGCACAAGATCTTTTTGTATTGTCTATCTAGCAAAACAACACACTTTCTTCAACCAATGTATAAATCTGTTTTCAGTCCGTTTGAGGTATATTGGGATGAAGAAATTTTGAATTTTTGGGTCAACAAACCTAACCGGCGCATAGATAAAATTACATTTGGAAAAATGTTTAGTACCGTTCGGCCAAAATCTGCTTTACCAGCAAATGTAATGGCGGGATTTAGAGGAACTGGAATATTTCCCTACAATCCAAATATAACTCCTAAGACAGACTTTGCGCCATCAGAGCTGAGCAGAAGAGAAGCAAACAACGACGAAAATCCACATCCAGCAAATAAGAACCCAACTTTTTGTAACCAAAAATTACGTCATGTCACGGAATCAGTCACAATCAAGCCAAGAACTTCTGATCTACAGAAAAATACAAATGACAAAAAAAGATCTAGAAGCTCCAGCATTGAAGATAGTTCGAACAGTGAAGATATGTCAATTCATGACTCTTCAAATGACCAAAATGTAGACGAAGAAAAAACACCTGAAATGGAACTTAAAAAAATAACACCTCTTAAGAAGTCTCTAAGTTATAGAGGTCAAATCTTTTTGTTAGAAAAGAAGATTCAGAAAAAAATCACAACAGGAAATCTATAAAAATAAAATAAAAAAAAAACTCTATGAAGAAGGTAGACGAAAAATGGCATTGCCATTTATGCAATGAGGACAGGATTATGGATATGCGTCTGTTCAACATGTGAATGCAATATATACATGAAGAATGGTGGGTCTGACTAGAAAGGATAAAATGGATACCTTTATTTGTCCGACGTGCTCCGATTAAAGAGGAAAACATTTTTTCATAATTTTTTATACTTGCTCTCTTTGTGAATTAGTTGTTACTTATTTTTTAGATTTTGTTTGTTACCACAATTTTACTTAATAGTGTTAAGTAAGTGTAGTGTTAGGTAATAAAATATATGTTCAACATATTTTAATAATTTTTTAACCGACTTCAAAAAAGGAAAAGGTTATCAATTCGTCGCGATATTTTTTTTTATATGTATGTTCAGCGATAATTCTTTAACACGGTGTCCGATTTCAATAATTATTTTTTTGTTAGAAAGGGGCTACCTCAAGGGTGGTCCCATATAAATTTGGTCAAAATCTAATAATTGTGTCCATGAGAAAATCCTCAAACTCTTCATTTTTTATGTATGTTTAGCGATAATGCTTTACCACCTTATCCGATTTATATGATTCTTTTTTTGTTAGTAAGGGGGTACCTCAGGGGTGGTCCCATATAAATTTGGTTAAGATGTAGTGATGTCATCTGCATGTTTTTGAAGTCGGTTTTTTTAAATTTTTAATTTCTAATACTTGTTAAAATTAATTTTTTTTTGAACAAATTTCTAATGCAGCAATGGTGGGCCTTTTTGAAAACCATTGTTCCTAACAAGGCCCAATGTGACCTTGCATTAAAAAAACATGCCAAACTTATAGTAAACACAAAAGTTAAAAATATTTGACAAAATAAAATAAATTAAAGTGAATTCAAATTAACCCCAAATTATTACTAGCTCACACTTTTTATAGTGTTGAGGAATACCTCCACTGCAATTTTACTTAAATGTTTTGTTATAATTTTACTTAAATGTTTTAATTTTACATAAATGTTTTAAATGTATTGTTTGTAACGAATTATATATAAGTTTGTTTTTACTTATACATTTTTGTCTTGTTTGTAAATTTTATGTGACGTTTTCTATACCTATGTATTCAGGTCTACAGAAATAAATGATTATTATTATTATTATTATTAAACAAATATTTTAAGGTATTTTTAATTTTTTCTGGTCCCCAAAGTTAAGTGGGCTATATTTGATACACCCTCCTTATAATAAGTATGATGACAACTATATGATAACTATTATCAATGTAAAATAATGCTTTGTATCAGAAGTCAACTCGATTAGCCAAAATCAGCATCACGGGACATATTAATTGTATTCCTATATACACACATCTCCAAAAGTCTTGTTCCCTTTGGTAACTTTTAACGCAATCATTGTAAGGTGACTATTTTGTGTATACATTCTTCATTATTGTATCATACATAAACGCAACAGGTTGTAAGCAAAACTGTTTTCGTCTGAAAATATGCACCATTTGAAAAGCAGCAATTTTAAGCTGGCATCGAGTATTACAGTATCAAGTAAATTTGTTATAAAATGCCAGGTCATCCGATTTCTTAGTTTGTCCAGGCAAGAATAGTGGCCTTACATCAAGAGGATTTGTCAAATCACCAGATTGCGGGTCATCTGAATATTTCACGGACTTCGGTAAGGCGCATAGTGGTCCTTTTCCAGGAAATGGGCACTGTTGTGCAAAGGACGGTGACTGTTCGACCCAGAGTGATATCAGAGAGGGAAGAGCAGTATATGTCAAATTTTACCCAAAGGTACCGAAGTATAACGGTAACAGCTTTTCTAAGTAATTTTTTGAGAAAGTACCGGGGGGTAGTTTCGAGTAGTACTATAAGAAAAAGATTGCATTCCTCAAATATAAGGGCATGAAGACATTTAAGAGTGCCTGGGCTCCTACTCCACATAGAGCTGCACGTTGCCAATCGGCTCAAGCGCAAAGGAACTGGCATTTTACCACAATGGCGCAAAGTCCGTTTTTTGGACGAGTCAGGAGTTGACCTACAGAGTGATTGCCGACGGAAAAGGGTCTGGAGGGGTAGAGGCAGACAGGGGCGATTTACTTTACAAAGAAATGTTATTCCCTATCAAGGCGAATCAGTGATGTTTTGGGAGGTATTTGCACCCCATTTATTTTGATTGAAAGAACTATGACAGGTATCATATGCGCTGAAAACACTATTCAACCAATCATTCAGCCTTTGCGCAACGAATTTTGAAACAATTTTATTTTTCAAGACGAAAATGACAGGCTGCATCGCAAGTAAAAGGGTACAAAACAAGCTGCAGGAAGGAAATATCCAAATAATTAACTGGTCGTCAAACTCACCAAACATGAATCCCGTTGAATATGTATGGGATTATCTTGGCAGAGCAATATCCTATTGGGAAAACCCCCCCTTTAACATTTTAGGACTTGACTGTAGCTGTTCAAGAAGAGTGGGAAAATAGGTCTAATCATTTTATTGATAACCGGATCCGCGGGATGCCACGATGCGTTGGCCAACAGATTGAAAGGAGGGGCGATAATGCAGACTATTAAGTTATGTTTTTGTTACGATATAATATTTTTCTCACAAAAAATAAAATTTTCTACTTACAATTTTTGGACATTTTATTGTAATTTCCTTTATTCTGAATTATTCGAAAAGCAAATTACAAAAGTTGTGTATCACATAGTTTGGTATTAAAACAAGAATTAGATTTGCTATATTTCTAAAATTCAATTTAATTTTTTTTTTAAATACCTTGGGGGCCAAGACTTTTGGGGATGTATGTATAATACAACTAGTGGTATCGGAAATATCTATTATTAGCATTAGCATTAACCACGAATCTAAAGTTTGACAACGCTGCGAGCATTAATTTATGTGCTTATTTATCAAAACTTGTATTCAATAGATATAACGAATTAATAACATGCAACAGCTCAATAATTTACAGTTATATTCGAAAAACAATGACAACATGGCAAGCTTGCTTATTTAATTGTACAGCATTAATTTACAAAGTTATCAGTTATCAGTTATTATTATGGATTATTAATTATCTATATACAGAAAATTATTACATTGTGATTTAGGATTTAATTTTTTTTATGAATTTTCAGGAAAGTTTCACTCAAATTCACAGGCAATAAGGTTGTTGATTGGTTAACCAATGCAATGTCTTCGGTGGTCACCAAGTTGATGGGTCAAGTTGTAGTAAACGTTATCGCGAAATTTATCAGAGATAACCTAAGAGACATAATTGAGCAACTAAATCAAACTATTGACAAGATCCTTAATCCATAATTCTCTTTTTTGAATTTTGAAGAGAAAAATGTGGTATTAAACATAATTTTAGTGTATATATAATAAAAATCAATTATTAAACAAGTAATTCGAGTAGTTTTATTTCTGAAGTCAGAGTAGTTCTGATTTTGGTAAAAAGCATAACCTGCATTATATCAAGATATTTTTTCATATAAGTACCTTTCTGAAAATACCATATCTGACTATGGCTATCCATTTGCTTAAATTTGTAAACCAAGCAGGCTCATTAATAAAATAGCATTCTCCAATCTTTTTTATCTGCAAGTATGTTCAGGCCCTTATGATCCAACAGTTTTGAAATACTTATTTTCTCAATGTTCATGAGTGCTAACCCCAACATCATTTCTTGTCCCATATAGGTTCTAAGGTAAGTTTTTAGCTTCTAAGGAAGAGAAATTACCTATCATCTCGTGCCGTTCTCAAACAACAAATTACCACCAGTTCAAAAATAAATGTACACGGTACTAGATGTAGCATTAATCGTAGGCAATAACATTTCAGATCTTGAATTTGCTTACTCTAAAATTTATTTTAGTAAAGCTGTAGCGGATATATTCTATGTTTTGACTAAGACGTTTGATTGCATCAAACATACAGTATTTTTTCAAAAACCTGAATTTACGGAATCGAAGATGAAGTGCTGATAAATGTTTTCAGAATATAAGCATATAATGGTAAGAACTACTAAGGAGTCCCCCAGGATTCTGAGTTGATCTCATTAAATTAATAATTAAAACAGTGTCGGCTTGTGATTAAAGACATTGGGTGTTCTGGAAGATTCTCCCTTCGAAATTACATATGCGACAGGCTATAGTCAAAGCTAATTTATTTACTACGTCTAACTAATGTTTTCCATTTCATTATCTCCTTTACGTCTTTTGGAAATTTAAAAAACCTACAAGTTTCCCTTTGATTGTAGTGTTTACATTCAGGAGCCGAACACATTTCCATGTTTTTTATAGGTACCTGTAATAATATATGTATAAAATAGCAGCAAAATAAACCATTAAAATGCATTAAGAATACTATTAAAAATGTATATTTGAGGTTAGGTTAGTTTAGATTTTTTTATATCCATAAAAATAACATCTTACCAATTATTTTTCTAATTATATAAAACAATTCAAGTTCTTGTTTCTATAAGTATTTAGAACTTAAATACGTTTATTGTTACCTTTAAAAGTCAATAATATGCATATGCAAAACATACAAAGTTTGTTAGGATAATGCGCCCTGGATAGCTATTCACTAAGTCATGGAAGCGCTTGGGAGTGTTCCCATATATTTTGCTCTCTTACTCTTAGGTAGGTATATCGTGCTTACTCACTTTTAGCCCAGGTACATGCGTAGTAAGGTCGGAGTAAGCACGATATACCCACCTAAGAGTAAGAGAGCAAAATATATGGGAACACTCCCATGGGAGCGCTCCCATATATTTTGCTCTCTTACTCTTAGGTGGGTATATCGTGCTTACTCACTTTTAGCCCAGGTACATGCGTAGTAAGGTCGGAGTATCAACTATTGGGGAAGCACCCCAAAACAGGCACATGGAAAAGCCTTCATAGGCAGACCATGTCCCAAAAGAACTGGAGAACTACTCTTAATGAATAGGAACCAGTTGAAAGTGATAACAGGGTTCATGACTGGGCACGCCCCAGTAAAAGGACACTTGAACAAAATTGGCATGTACAATGGGGAACTCATGTGCCGACTATGTCACAAGAAACCAGAAACGGCCAAACACATACTGTGCGAATGCGAAGCTCTAGATCGCAAAAGACAGGCTCTTTTTGGACAACCCCAGGTTGATCCAACAACGTATAGAACTCACTCACCCAAGGATCTGTACAAACTTGTACAAGGTACGAAGGTGATAGAGTGGGTGCTATGAACTAACATGGGGTAAAACACAATAAGCCAATAGGCTTCAGTGTTATTCGGAGACACATAGTCAGACGAGCCCAGGAGAGAAAAAAAAAGCATTGAATAACAATATAATGAAATATGAGTTTTTAGTTACTGCTTGTTTCAAAGATTTCTAGAACTCCGAAAACATGAAAAATGCAAATAAACAAATCAATTTTATTTTAAAACGACAGGAAGATATTGGAAAAAAATTTCTGAGATTATTCGAGACATCTCAAGATCCCATTTAAAACAAAAATGGGATAAAAAACTATTAAAAGAAAAATAAAATATGAATGAATTACTATAAAGTGGTTCAAAATAGTGGGAAAACGCAACTTTGACCCCTTTTTCAATGTTCTTGACAGGAAATAACGGGCTTCAAGGCACATAGGTCAATACACATTATAGCGAACTTTGAATTATCGAAAAATATCAATTTTTGACCGAGTTCTGAAACAATTTGTCCACCCGTTTACAAGCTTATCAGCATTGCTATAGAGATAAAGCAGGGGCTGAACGAGGGGACTTTTGATTGCGGTTATCTCGAAACCTGTCGAATTCCCGACAAAAATGATAGGGACCATTTTTGTAGATAATGATAATATCTTTCTTTTTTATCTAAACAAAAATTCTCTAATTTGCATATTGTGGAAGATATTGACGGGTCCATTTTGAGCCCTTTCCGACGCAGCAGAGTTGGTAAAAGTTTTCGACCTTGGAAGCGACCGCCGAGACCTAAGAGTTGAGCCACAACGAAAATCTGGACCGAATTAATGACAGGTTGTTCCCTTCAGTTACTGGACTAGTATTATTTAAACGGTTTTTCACAAAATTATGTTGCTGAGGTTGACTTTAAAGGCCGATTTACAAACGTGCAGTTGCAGTTACCGCTCGAAGTTGCAGTTCCCGTTGGAAGTTAAAAAACTACTTTCACTTTTGCCCACTTCTATTCTCTGTTGCTGTCACCGTTTGCTGTTACATATTCAAACATAACAAAGTTTTAATTTCAACGAAGACTGTAACGTCAAACAAACAGTAACGGCGACAGAACTGCAAGTTTATAAAATTACCCTAAATTCGTTAACGAAATTAGAAAAATCTATTTAAATACCTACGTCACATAGAAGGTATTTCTAATTTAGAAATACAATTTAATAGCTTTAAATAAATCAGGAAACCTATAACAATCATCCCATTACAAAAAAAAAAAAAAAAAAAAAAAAAAAACTATAACAATAAGAACTTCATTCACTAGTAGTAAGATACCCATATAAATAAAATCAGTAACTGTAAGTAAATAGTTCACTAAGAGTAAGTAAATAGTTCGTAGGTCGTCTATAAAGCAATTAAACTATTTACTAGCCACAAGTTAGTAATTTCAAAAATTCAATTTTTTTTACCATAAGTTAACATTTCGTTAACAGTTTGTGAATGTTTTTTCTTTTTCGTGTTTGACTCCCGGCCGATGCACTCATTTTTATTTCTTTATTTCTCGACATTTTCAATTTTTCTTTGGTTTGTTTTCACTTCGGGGATATGAGAGTATAATTTTTATAAAGGGAAATGGAGATTTTTCATTTTCATAATTTCTAAAAATTACATTAAGTTTTCGGATCTAAACTGATTTTTTTCACTTCCCTTTTTTATCATTAAATATAGTTTTTGGTTTACAAAAGTCATCATCCAACTTTTTTAATATTGCCAATATCGCAATTAGATGAGTACAAATAATGTGAAAATTGTCTAATAAAACTTTTGAGAAATTGTAACGATTTAAGAACTTATTTTTAGAGTACTAATACTCCTGCACTATGGAGTATTAGACTACTAATACAATCCATAACCTACATAGAACACTAGGCCAATGACCTTAGATGTTGAAGCCGTACACAAAAAAAAAAAAAAAAAAAAAAAAAAAAAAAAAAAAAAAAAAAACTTATTTGATGCTCCTAATTTTTTCTTTTTCTTTTCAAGAGGTAATACCTATTTTAATACAGTTTATTACAATATTTTTAAGATAAGAGATCTGATATTCGTCTCCTCGCAAAACTAATCTATTGTATCCTCTATCTTTGGATTAAACAAAAACACAAATAACAATAACTAAATAACAATAGATAAAAAACTGCAATCTTAAGTATTCACATCTTATTAATTGTGAAAAAATACGCATACGCTTGAAATATATATATTAAGTCCCTCCTTAAAAGAAAATTATATTTTGTTTGATAATCGTGAATAGAACGTATTTTTGTGTAGTAAATTATTTTAAAATGAAATCTTTTATATTTGTGGTGCTATGTTTACTTTCGTTTGCAAGAGGAATTCCAAATAACTTAAGCGCAAGGATAGCACCATCAGCTTTGGGACAAATTGATTTTGGAGTGTTACCTACAGAACTAGTGGAAAAGTTAACCGCCAAATTTGATAATGATGATATGCCTAGGTATAAAATATTTTTCTATCTACATTTATGCATTTTTTCTAAAATAGCTATACTGAATAATTTCGTATTAAAAAGTCTGAATAGCAGCTGTATCTCAGCAACTATTTATCCTACAGCTTCGAAAAAAAATTAATTATAACAAAAAGGTATTTTTCGCGACATAACCGGATTATGTTGTTCGATCATGTTTGTCTATCCCCCCACCACATATAGTATATGTTGACGCGAAAATGGAAAATCCATGCTGTTTTGAAAGTGGGCAATGAGTTGAAGTAACAATTTTTTATTATTTCAATTACTCATGTGTGTATAAACCACGCGATTTTTCCTAAGAGTAAAAACAACTTAATTATTTTATATTAATATTTAATGTACCTAAATATATTGTCTAAAAATAACGACAAATTTTACTTGTGCTATTTTAATTAATCTATTTATATTTACTATATTTTAATTGCTAAATAATTTCGACACTTTCCTTTACTTCAATTTCAATCTTATTTAATTTAAATTTTAAAATTAAAGCCATCTTTTTGTCTTTGTATACCGTCTGTAGTCATTTGTCAAACACATGAATTAACATAACCGCCTGTGGATGAGATCATTTCATTTCAAAATTCTTTATTCATCGTTAAGTGTTTGTTACAATAAATAGATTACAAATACATACATATAATTATAAAATAATAAATAAAATATAAATATACATTATAGTGCTACTTCCCAAACGTCTCCTACAGGAAGTGTTACCGCCTATGTTGGCCGATGTTGTGGCCTGGTAATTGAGGTCTATTTTTAAAATTTTGATTATTGCTTGGCATCTCCTTATTATAACAATATAATACGCCAGTTTTGTGGATTAACAAGAGCGATAATGGTAAATTAATGAGTTTTTGTCTGATTTTAATTGTGATTGTCTTCCCTGAAAAACCTATAAAAAAACAGGGTTGTCCTTGTTTGTGTGTTCGTCACATGTTAGTCTTTGTACGTGAGAAAGCCAAATCTACAGACTACACCGTGAAATCCCTATTCAATCTTGACATTGGAGCGCTAGCCGCAATTTCTGCATTGAATAGTGACGTCACCGTGCAGTCTTCCGTCCGACTAGAGTTGTTAGCTAGCCGGATTCGAGGGCTGTTTCAGTCTCGTATGTAAATTGTGAGTGCTTTATGCAAACATCCATGTTTTCTGTTTGCACCATCTCCTGCGTGAATTGAATTTATGTCCTCCTTAAGGGAGTCTGGCAAGCAGTTTTTATAGAATTTGTTGGATAAACGGAGTATGTGTGCCTTAACAGTTTCCATGGATGTTTGAATATGCATGTCATGTATTCTGGCATAGCGGTCGTACCCTAATGCCAGCCTCAGACACTTGTTCTGCATTTTTTGCAGTTTGTAGAAATGAGTATCAGCCATTGAACAGAAGACAGGACCTCCGTATATAAGTATAGGACGCAGTACTTGCTTGTATAGGAGAAGCTTGTTGCCACTAGTGACACCACTTCTCCTATGCAACAGCGGATATAATGTTTTAAATGCGTATGTGGAATATTCTGTCTCAAAGCCTTTCGGCGTTATGGGTGCCGTAGATGAGATCATGTTCGAGTATGCTAAACAGTGACGTCATTACAACTTCCCCTCCGGTCCTTGATGTCGGCCAAAATGGAAGATCATGCCTAACTAACATGATCTACCATTGCTGCGTTTGAGAATCCACATCGGATGCATCTGAGATGTAAAAAATCTTTGATCACGTGATTCAGTATACGTAAATGTAATGGGACAGATGTGTCCGATGTGGATAAAAAAACGCTCGAGATGTAAAAAATGCATCCGATGTGGATTCTCAAACGCAGCACATAAACGTTTATGTTGGTTTATGCCGCGAAAAATACCTTAAAGTTGTTCAAGAGAAAATAAAATTCTTTATAAATATATTAATCTAGTTGGTTTTGATGTATCAATAATTTTTTGATAGCTTAGTTGTAGTGATATACACACAAAATTATTAAAATGCTCTTTTAATTTAATAAGATAATACACTGCGACTTAAAAGATCTATCATGCCCCCTATAATCAATAACTCAAAATTTTTAGGTTAGGAGACATTTCTGTACTTGTAAATGAATATGCAGACAAAATTTTTGAAAACTTACGGACCTATATAAACAAAAATGATCTTAACAATTTAGCTATACCAAACGCAACATTAAAGGTAAGTCGTTTTATACTTTAATTACCTACCCAGTTATTTTAAATAAATTATTATTTTGAATCCAATATTTAGATTTTAAAATCATGGCAACAGTTACGAAATACCTATCCTATTATCAATATTAATTCAAGGATCAATCAACTTAAATTTACAGGTGTTAAAAAACAATAAAATTGAAAAGATAACGATACTTCAAAAAAATTTGCAGGTGTTAAATTATTATAAAATTAAAAAAGATAACGTTAATTTAAAACAATTTGTAATTAATATTGTTATTTTTTCTTTATTAATTTTTGATATGAAGTTCGTGAAATAATATTATTTCTAATTGTTACTAAATTTGCAGGTGTTAAATTATTATAAAATTAAAAAAGATAACGTTGATTCAAAACAATTTGTGATTAATATCATTATTTTTCTTTCTCCTTTATTAATTTTTCATATGAAGTTCATGGTGTCAAATTCTCAGAACTGAGAAGTAAACAATCCCTGTCTCTTCTATTTAAAAATGAAACATGATGGTCAATATTTTTCATATCCTGCCATACAGCCAATATGATTCTAGCAGTTATCATTCATTCTTTAGCATTCTTAATAATTTCCAATACTATTTTATAGAAGTATTTGTTTACTTACAATATTTATAGTTGGAACCAACTGGTACGATTGATTTAAGAAATGGACACTTGGCAGACCTTAACACGATAGGTAGAACGGGAAATGTCGTAGTTGACTATTCTTCAGATAAAAAAAGCATTTGGATTTCACTCCCAATGAGTTTTGAGGATATTAAGGTAAGTTGTTGAATCAGAAGTATGTTGTAAAAATTTCCATAAAACGTAATAATTTTATTCCAATTTTTTACAAATTCTTATTTCTTTTTGTCTACTATACAGAAATCATGAATTTTTAAACTAATAGGAAAAAAGCATCGTACTAAGAAAAGCATGCCTTTAAAGCTACTTGTGTCAATGTTGATTTACACATGTAGGAACAAATTTAGCAAAAAACAATAAAAAAACAAAAAAAAATATAATGAAAAAAGCACTTCTCTAGCAATTCAATATTCTTTATCCCCACAACTATAACTGAGGTAAAACATATAATATTAGGTTTAAAAAAGAAGATCGGATAACATAACTGCGTAGACACTGCAACTCATTTCAGAATTTATAGCTGCCCCACTCACAAATTTATTATTATTAATACAAGCCTCTCTACAGGCATCTTTTAAGCAGTCTCTAAATATTCCTATATATAAAGATGGCGAAAAAACAAAAATAACTAACTAAAGACCGATAGCCCTGATTTCTTCACTAGGGAACATTCTGGAAAAAGTGACGAAACATCGAATAATGTGGCTTCCTGGAAAAAAACACAAGATGGATTTAAGGAGTGAGTTCAAAGCAAGACGCAATAAGGAAAATAACTAATAAAATTTACTGTTCAATTGACAATAAATCAGTAGTAATCTTTTTAGACTTGGCTAAAGCTTTCGACACTGTCAATCATTGTCATGGGTATAAGGGGTATAGCCAATAATTTAATGAATTCATACTTAACAAATAGAAAACAGAAAACCAAAATACAAAATGTCACCAGCATCGATCAAATAGTCTCCTGTGGTGTACCTCAGGAAACAGTATTGGGGCCTCTACTCTTTATAGTCTAGCTGAACAATCTCTTTTTAGTTGAAAGTAAAGCAAATATTATTAGCTTTGCAGATGACACAGTAATGCATTACGAAAGCTACTGAATGGAATAATTTGAAAAAATTGGTAGAGGAGGATTTCCCCAAAATAAAAACATGGTTTCACTACCGATTACTATCTATAAATTTTAAAAAAACAGTATACCTACCTTTTTGCAGTCTAGCTTCCGGTCTTCCTTAATTTTAAAATAAAATTAAATATTTTAGTAGATAGCCACTTTTGCTGGGATAAACATATTGAATACTTAACAAATTATTCTTATTATTCTTATTTAAATTCATACAAGTATCACCAATGCTAGAATTACCACAGAAGAGAATTTTTTATCATATGGAATAATTGGTTGGGGTGAAGTCACTAAAACGCACTTAAAGCCAATCGATATTATTAAAAAAAAATAGGTATTCTACTGAAAATGTGTATCAAGAAACTCAGATATTTAACTTACGACAGTTATTCTATCAAGGAGCACTTACCCATCAATTTCAAAATCAAGACGAACTACAAGGGGGGTGGGTTTGCTCAGTGGTTAGAGTCACGACTTTGAGATCGGAAGGTCTCAGGTTCGAATCCCACCGTTGGCCGGGATTTTTTCATTTAATTTAATTATTAAAAATTAATTCTGATGCCTTGGTAGGATTCCCCACTCGACCATTCACTGTTGGGTTCTAATTAACAGTGCTGTTCCTAAAGTGGCGCTGGGAAACAGTAACAAAGCCTACACAGAACACGAGGCTAATAACCATAGCAGTTGATGCCGATGACACAAAAAAAGACGAACTACAAACACCGTTGCATCAATATAACACAAGAAACAGAGACAATTATTTGCTACCACGAATGAATAAATCAGTAGGACAAAATAGTTATAAAATCTTTAATAGCATTCCAACGGAGCTCCGAGAAATAAAAACAATAAACAAATTTAAAAGATATGTAAAAGAATTTATAATGGAACTCAAATAATTGGAATTGTTTTTCGTGTATGTAGTAGTAATGTTTGTTTTATGAGATATGTCGAGGTATATTGTAAATAAATTTTATTTAATTTATCAAATGTGTATAAGATTGTCTTTATATAATTTTTATTTATATTAATAATATTGTATTTCCTAAGTTCTAATTTTTAATTCAAATTCTTACTATTATATTATTATATTTAGTTTTATTTATTATTATTTTGTCGTATTTTTTGTCACACACAATCTGTCATTGTTCTTTGTATAGTGAGCAGATTTAGTGACACATTTCTTGTTTATTTACATTTATTTATTTATTTCCTATTGTATTTTATTGTATCTGAATATATATTTCTGGTAAATAAACATTATTATTATTATTATTAGTAGGCTACGAACAAATTTTCGACTTTTTAATTGTTTTTACATATACAGGATATCTCAGAATGTGAGCAATCTTACAGTTTTAGATAGATTACATAAAAATAACACACGATCCTGGAAATCGTTTTTTCTTTAATAAGTTTTAAGTTGATCTATAATGGAGGGTCCAACAATCTTCAATTCTTAGAGCTGGGAAATGCATAAAATAAGAAGCTAATTGTTGAATTGTCATACAACAATATTTAATAAAAACTATATTAAACAAAAATACCTTTTTTATAAGATTTAAGCTGTCGTGCCTGTATCACAAAACACTTAGTATTATTGTTTCTAAGCTAGGCCGACCCTGTCAAACTAAATAAACAAATATATTTAAGAGGGTCTATTATAATGAGACTTATCTATCATCATATTAAAATATAAAATACTTGAAAAATAAAAAAGAACATATTCCAAGAGACGTCCGTTATGGTTTTGTATCTGTTTAAAAAAAGTACAGGAACTTCTGATATTATTTTTATGTGTTCTATCTGAATTCGAAAGATGGCCCACATATTCTAGGATACCCTGTATATTAGCTTTAATAATTAGTTTTAAAACTTATATTTAATTAATTGTAGTATAAAATAGATCGGGTACGTGACTTGGCCTTAATCATCCTAAACATTGGGATATGGAACTGTTAATATATGGGAAACTCAATAATAATAATAATAAGCCTGGATAAACTACGAATTTACTTAGGGTTAGTACTAGAATGTCACGAAACTTTGGCCAAAGTATTCATCAACAATATGGCCTATCTTACGATGGATCAAAGATCACACCATATCGAATGGTAACCGTCTGACAACATTGGTACTGACCGATATAATTTAAGAAAATTCCTTGTGAAATTCAAGGACAGATGGGATGAAACAAGAACCTGCAGAGTTGCCAGGGAGATTTTAAGTTATCTTGAACACACTACAGCAAACAAATACTAGACAGAGTTTGCGCCTGATCACAGTCATTCTGACCGCTCATTGCCAAATACATAAGGATCTTTATTGAATGAGGCTATTATAATCCGCACTATAGACGGGGTGCGAATGAGAAGATTGGACTATCGAGCATATCCTCTATATTGCCCGACGCTCTCATTTATTAGAATATTTGTGTTCGTCGAGTATCAGCTAACACCGACCCATATAAGGAAGCACCTCTTTGTGACAATGACAACTGCATTTAATCTGTAAAATAACTCATGAGCTAGAAGGTACCTATCAATTTAGGAGGATGTACAATGGGCCAAGTAAGGCCTAAGTGCCGTGAGATAACCCACTCTCTATACGTTATAGATACAGAAGGGTAATTTGGGTGTAGATAAAATATGCCACTTGCTTATCAAGCCCACTAGATTGAAGAGCATTTCTTCATCAGATAATCTTTATTGATTTATTTAAGCAGTAATTGTAGTTTTTAAAATTCTTATTCATCCTTTGGGTATTGGAATAAATTTAGCTTTAGGACTTAAATCCGATAAGTCCTTCTGGGAATCTGAAACGTAAAGTTTTTAAACTTTTTTTTTGCATTTTTTTTTATATCTGATTTTGTGAATGGTGAATATTTCAAGAATATTGTGTGAAAATTTAAGATGAATATGAGCAAAACTAACGAAGATACAGCGGTTTGAATGTTATACTTTAATATGATATTAGTTTAAATAAACAGATTTTAACGGTGTCTTCAAAAAAAATTCATAAAAACGTGACTTTTTTGCACGAATTAACCTTACCCCCCTCCTTAAGTGAAGAACCTAGTTATCTCCTAATTTATTATTAACGGAGGTATAAAGACTATGTAAATAATTTAAATATCAATTATCTTATCTCAGCTACAAGGGCCTGGTAATTTAATATTTAAAACAAATAACTTATAAAGTACTTTCTGTTACAAATCATTAAATTGGTAATAATAGCAAAATGGTTAGAAATACCAATAACAGAATCTACCAACCATATACAATAATTGTAGTTTTTAACAATCAAAATATATACAATTCTAAAATTATACATAAATTAGACTAACACATGTTTGTTTGGATTCTTGAAGATTTTTTATGTTAGCTGAGGCTCACAGATTTCAGCGATGAACAGGATATACAATAAGAATGATAAATAAAAAAATGAAAACAAAAAAAAATAAAATATCAAACCAATATTATTTTAACACTGAATAAAAAACAAGTTAGTAAATATTTGATATCAATGGCCTAAAACAGTGTGGGAACTGCAATTTCCCTAGGTGCTTGATTCTAATTTTTTGGTCGTTCTTAAAATGACAACCACCTATTCAATATGATGTGTCAATTATATCACTAATACTATCCGAGTGCTTTATTGTTTGTCATCCAAATCCAAACAATCTTCAACAGCCATGTTAATATTTTTAATTCTTTAATCTTGCATTATCTTGAAGCTTGAAGTTTTTCACGAGCTGACAACTGTCATTTCGACACTAGCGCCATTCCGATAAATGGAGTGGAACTAATTACCTTCCTCATTTTTTTCATATAAGTTGCTGGATGACCAACGAAAGTTTGGTAGGATACATCAAGCGTTAGCTGGCGTAGGTGGATTGAAGATGAAATCTTTCGGTCAGTAACAGAAGGAAATAAAAGTAGTGTATAGCTTAAAATCTATAAAGGTATAAGTAGTTTATGCATTAAAATATAAAATCTACCTTTATCACTGACAAAGCGGTCCCAGCTACTTGCGCTTCTACCAAACTTTCGTTGGTGGCGCCTTACTTATACATATGCCTCAAATCCTATCTTAAAATCATCTTATAGCAGGGGCAGAAGTTGGAAAGGCTTTTGCCCATTCTCCTACTTGATACACATAATTGACAGGTTTGCGGCGGATCTAACCGAAGTGGACGCGATACATTGGCGAACAAAATTATTTTGTAGATGTTAATAACAATTTGGAGTAAATAATTTTTTAATTTGTGAATAGCTGTTGAAATTTTGTAGAAATATGATTTGGATATTATAATATATATGTTTAATAATTAATTATAGTCCATAAATACATGCGATTATCCGGTTTCGTCGGTAACAATTTAAAATTACTTATTCTATGAAACAACACTGGCAAGTAAACATTACTGCGAAATTCTCGAAGTCGTCCGACGTGGTTTGACGTTTACCCCCTCTCTACCTGCCAAAAGCGTTTCCAACTTCTGCTCCTGCTATATGAAACTATCAGTATAATCTAGTCAATATAAATGTAATAAAATTGTAAAATATTTAAAAATATCATTTGGAACTTGGAATCAGTTCTATGCAAAGTCGATACTTACCTACTTATTAATTAAAATCTCTTAATATTGCAGTTTTTCTACGATTACCATACCAAAGTACTTTTCATTAGTATTCATGGAGGAGTACATGGTTCTGTAACGGATATCAAAGTCAACGCTCAAATAAGTTTTGATTTCATTACTAATCACGCTTTTCTTGAACATTACGATATGAAGGATTCAGGGTAAGTCGAGTAAATGGAAACCCTATTATAGTCCTTGTCCTTTGTGAATGAATTAAAAATGCAAGTCTAGGTTCTCGGGTCAATAGTGTTTTAAGGAGGCTTAAGCCGTCTGATCGCGTTAGGCGCATACTATCTAAATTTAAAAAACGTTATTTAAAAATCCACAAATTTACATAAAAACAAAAAATTATATACCAAAAATATTGTTCTATTACTGCTAAAATGGATACTAAGCTAGTAACTATTTTGCAAACTAACTAAACTAACTAATGTGGATAAAATGGAGATTTTATGTGCAGTCTTTGTGTAGAAAGGTTTTAGGGTCTTAGGAATGTGACAAATTTCATTTAAAAACTATCGTCTCTATTAGCCTTTATTACACCCAGTATGTTTCATTGGTGAGTTCTAGAGCGATCAACATCTGGAACAGGTAAGGGAATACTCATTCCAACTTTTGCAGGTTTAAATTTATTTTACCTCGTTTGCAGCATTTTTTCATCCTGCTTTTTCTGGGCTACTTTTCATTCTGATCTTGTATTTGCAATATCTTTAGCGTTCTTGCAATATTCCGTTCGAGCATAATGAACAAGCTGAGTTTGCTGCAGCATCTTGGGGATTTTCTTCGTTAATTTCTTTATTTTCTTGCCTTGTCATATTTTGTAAAGTAATTGTCTCTTTTTACACTTCACGTTGGCTTAAATCCTGTTCAGTAAGTATTATTAATTTCGTTGTCTAACAAAGACTGCACGGTGTTGCTTTCATCCTTGTCAACAATTAGGGAAACTTAATTAACCTAGAAACTAAAGATTTTCTTATTTTAGAATAAAGGTACTCAGTGGGGTGAGTGGATCAGTGGTATAATCTCTGCCTGCGGATCCAAGGGTACAAGGTTCAAATCCCACCTTTGGACGGGATTTTTTAATTTAATTATTTAATTCTGATGCCTTGGTAGGATTCCCCATTCGACCATTCACTGTTGGGTTCTAATTAACAGTGTTATTCCTAAAGTGCTAGGAAACAGTGACAAAGCCTACACAGAACACGAGGTGAGATAATCTTAGCAGTTGAAGCCGATGACACAAAAAGAGCCATACCTGTTCCATTTATTAATTAATTTTATCAATGACCACATTTTTAGTTTTTAGTTCATCTAGAGTTGAATATGTATCATCTTCGGCGTTGGCAGTATTAACATTTGGGTTCCGTTAGTTTATAAACTAGCCAAGAATATTGCTATTTTGGGTGACTAAAACATTTTTATTGTATTAATATCATAACGAGTTATCATATTAGCAAAAATCATGAATGGTTATTATAAAAACTAACTAATATACCTTCTTAGCATTAAAACAGTAGTATAAAATTTCGACAGTAACTGAAACTAATATATAGTTTGCATACTAAGCGGCTAGTTCATAAACTAGCGGCTGATTACCCGCTATTTTGCAAGAATGGGCGGTTTATTTCAAAATACCAGCACTTTTAGTTAGTTTGCAAAAGTGATGGTTAGTTTTGAAACCAGCCAAGTATCCATTTTAGCCTTAACAACTCTATTATCTCCCAACAGTAATGCTGTAAATCATACAAACCTATGTATAAAGAAAACTACTGCCACCATATCAGTTTTTATGATATTGCTGGTTTGTTCTTAGCAAAGCTAAGCGGCTAAATTCCATTTAGGTTAGGTTTATTGGACATTAATCTGACTTTTTATAGATTCTGTTATGGAGCATATTTTCAGCTGGATTCGCTTGTATTTGTAATTAATTTTTATGTAATGTATTAAAAATAGTTTTTTTTTCTTATTTTTAGGAAAGTTAGCGTCACATTTACTGGACATCCACTTCTTGATTGGTTAACAGATGCACTAACTTCTGTTGTCACCACTTTCTTGGGTCAAGTTATACTAAACGTTCTGGCCAAATTTATAAGAGAAACTTTGAGGGCCATAATTGAAAATTTGAATGAAATTATCGACAAGATTCTTCACCATTGATAATTATTTTATTGATATTAAATTATCTTTTAATTTTAATTTAACTTGTAAGAATGTGTAACTATAATGAATCATATTTATTTATATTTACATTTGAAACAATTATTTTTTTACGGTTAATATTTGTAATATTTGTTATATTTGTAATATAAAAAATGTTCAATTAATTTGCTTTTGTTACCTAATTAAAAACAGTAGTTAATTTATGAGGTAATTTTGAAAATTGGCAAAAACAATAGGCATAGGCACAGTGCGACAATAACATAAGTGTGAAAAATCACTTTCACACAAGTGATGTAGGTACAATATTTTTCCCACAATCACAAAATAATTTTATCAAAAAAAGGGCTAATCCAAGAAATTTCGCTATAAAAGTTCCATCAAGATTTGGCTGGGTTTAGATTAGTAATAAATAAAAATCCTGAAAAACCCTGTATCAAATGAACTCAGTTCAAAGAAAAGAATAAAAAACGAAACCTATGGCATTGGTACAGGTCAACAAGAGCTGATGAGGATTAAGCTGTATATAGAAATCACAAAAAAATTTAAAATAGTATTGGCTGTATCTAGAAAAGATTATGAACATAATCTCCTAAAAAACTGTACAACAAATTTGGCAATCACAGAACCAGCCGAGTCAGCAGAAATATTTGCAGAACAGTTCAGTGCGGGTTTATAGAACAGGACTTAATACAGAATCACCACAAATAACTGCAACAGATGCAATAGATAGTCTTAAAGTCCTGAAATAGATAAAATCCCACCCATTTTTTTTAAGAAACAGAGATACAACAAAATGTTCTTAAAAAAATCCCACCTTTTGTGGTATTACCTTTAATAGTTTTTTTAATCATACTGTACCTGCCTCAATATAAAATTTTGTGAATTATAAATTTTTTTTAGTAAGAATTAAATGCTGTTGTTATTAAAATATTAAATGAAAAAAATTATTACAACAAAATAAAACACGTTTCAGATTATTTTAATATATAAATTGAAATTTGGAGATAATTGAAACCATTTATAAGGAAGGAAAAAAATATTTAAAGAAAATCGAGATAAATATAATTATTATGCATGAGAATAACTTTTGGAATTGTTATTAAAAAAAGAACTGATGGGCGTCAATCACAAATATTTTACTTTGAAGGTCGTCAAGTGCCTGACAAAAATACTGCTGAAATATCATAGATGAAATATTTACTGAATATTTTATTTTCGTGTATTTCTCTGAATTTTTTTATATAATTTAGAGTTTAGACTATATGTACCCAGTGGCGAATTTAGGAATGGTTCTAGGGGGGGGCACTGCAAACATTTGCTGGAGAGATGAAAAATATATTTATAGCAATCCGATTTTTCAGGTTGGAATCATATGGAAAACTTTTTTATTATTAATTTTAGGAAAAAAAGTTATTTTTCACAAAAAGTTCTGCATTATCTAAAACCCAGAATACAGCCATCAAATATCAAATATTTTCAGTGGTATACGAGGTTTGTCAAAAAATATGAGTTTTACTCAAGAGTAAAGTACCTTTAAATTTGACAATATCGAAAAATGTTACTAAAAAAAGTTGATCAGAATTAAAAATTACGTTACATTACTGTGCTGACCTGTATACGATATTATTGTGATTTATAAAAATTAGCATCGTAAAAATGTTTGTCACAAGAAATAACTATAAAGAAGTACAAAAGATGTTTATGTAACTGCTAATTCAAGTAATGAATATGATATTAAACTTTAAATATCTATGGGATATTTTAGTATCGTTTCAAAAATATATCAAAAAAAGTCTCTATGAGAAACGTTACAAAAAAGACTGGTAATGTTTCATGTTTAGTGGGAAAGGATAATAACGTATTTCAATTTTTACTTCATTGTCTGATTTACATATGGATAAGCAATCTATGTAACTATGTATATCATTGGATGTGGGACACCAAGTGTGCTCTGTGGAAATTTAAAAAATATCTTTACTAGCGAATCAAATCCACGTTTTCGACGGTGTGTGAATGTACATCCACGGATACAAGTTTTTTTTCTAAATTACTATTTTTTTAAGTTATTTAAAATATTTTATTTATTCAATTTTCAATTCAGTAACTACCAATTTATTATAATTTAAAGTGCTATAGTTAAAATTATAGTTTTAATATGAAATAAATGTCTTAGGCGAATAACATAATAGGATAGAAAATAGCGGTCCTTTTTGTACCATCTTTAATGAAACACCAGAATAGAACTCGTATCTAGGATTAAAAAGGTATATTGCTCAAATAATATTTGTATATGGGCAGGCTTAAGGGGTAAAATAACTTAAATATATTTATACGTGCGAGCTTAGGGGCTAAATATTTTTATATAGACAGGCGCCGTATAGGATGAAGGGGAGAAATTTTTTACATGAATAGACTTGGGGGTTCAAAGGGTCCAACCATTTTGATATGGGTAAGCTTAAGTGGCAAAGAAACTAAATATTTTGAAATGGGTGACTTAAGGGATAAAGGAATCAAATCTTTTTATACGGACAGGCTTAAGGTATAAATAGGCAAATATTTTTATATGGCCATAGATAAATGGATCACATATTCTTACATGGATATGCTTAACAATGCCGAATTAGAGTAACAATTCAAATATGCAAAAAGCATGTCATGATTTTTTGTAATTGTTCATTTAATATAACTTTTGCACTTCCTGAAAGTCGCATTTTTAAAACGAAAGATGTTTTTTTTAGCCGGCTCATCTAATTAAGAGTCATAGAGTTCGATTAAATGTTCTGTATTATTTTCAGTATCATCCATTGACGGTATCGAGGTAGATGTAAATCTTAATTCAAATTTTTCAGATATTTCTGAAATTAATATTTGATTTGACTCCAATTCTCCTAATCTACTTTCTGAGCTAGACAAATAGTTTTATTTATTTCCTATTAATATTCTAATATTTTACTAAAACTTTATCTTTAACAATGTTGTATTAAAATCCTGTTTAAATTTATCTCCTTACGTCTAATATTACTGTTCTTAATTAAATTCTTGTAAAATAAGTATACTCCTTCACTTAATTTTTGAGATATCTTTATATTACCATCGGCTTTCGGCCTTTCGTTCCAAATCAAATCATTTCTCATTTTTTTACGCTACGAGTTTACCATTATGGGCCTCAGTCTCGATAAGGTGGGAACCACCAATTTAGCGTCTCTCGAATTTTTTTTTTTTTTTTACAATTAAAAAGTGTGGTCAATGTGTCTTCTTACAGAGAAATCATACGCCACTGGACCAGGAAATGTGTTTACTTCCCCCTTGTGCTCGCTTCCTCACTTTCTCTATAGATTTTGATAACACATAGGGAGTCAATTTAAATCCAAAGTCACTTTATAATCTCTGATTATTTCATTATTTAATATTTTTATAATATGCTCATAACAAACCAAGTTTGTAGGTTGTAATAGTAATAGACATCCTGGAATATAAGAGCATTTAAAATTCAGTTGTATAGTGCTTTGAAGTAATAATGAAATTAGCTTTCATGAGTTTCAAAAATATCTATAGTATACTTGTTATTTAATCAGTACATGTTAATTTAATAGGATTGGCAAATGTAAATAATAAGACGAATTAATTATAATTTCAATTATTCTGATGTTTTTTTAATTTGTAAATTTAAACTGCTTACCATTTCGTGACTTCCTGTTCTCTTGCAAAAATTGATTTACAAGATCTCAAAAAAATGACAGAGTTGGACAATAGTTACATCTAAAAGCCTCATATGATTAACATAAATTAATATTTAAAATCTTTTTGAGGTAGTGCCAACAAAAAAACTTGGCATGCCCTTGGAATCTTATTTAATTCTTATAAAAATGATATGATATGGATTTAAAAAAAAACAATAGAAATCCAATAATATGTCCTAATTTACATACGAACCAAGAAAGTGGGTTAATATAAAAGTAGAGTAGGACCAAGAGGACGTATCATATTTGGTTCAACGATAATCAAGTAAACAACTTCACAAAATGTTCAAAATTGTAAGTATATAGATTTTATTACCTACTTAATTATTTTATTTTGTTTCAAGCTTTTAAATAATATTGACTATTGTACGAATATATTTCATATCCATTCTAGAGTAGTAAAAACACTGCAAAAAATGAAATCCACCAATCACACTTCATATTTTTGACATCCAGCTATATTATTATTTTTAAAATTTTAAATAAATGACAATTCTGTCAAATGAATTGTCAGTTAATTTTTTAGTTATTGAGATTAAATATACATTAGAATCGATAAATAATATTATTTTTATTTTAATTTGGTCCACATTTAAGAAAAATGAATTTTAATCAAACTAGATGAAACTAAGAACTAATTTAATTACGAGTATTAAAATAAATATCCCAAAAGTGGCGTTGAAGGTGAGGCAAAAAACCCGGATTCGAATCTGGGCTGGCGACTAATTAAATTCAATTTTTTTAATGTTTATTTTATTTTATAAATAAGTAAAATTCACAAATTATTTTAAATTAAGTTATTTTGCCTTAATAACCTAAAATAATTTTTAAATTTGTAGATTTCCGTCAGTGGATCGTAGAAAACTATACTACAACTCGAGTAGATTTTCCATATCCACTCTTGTGGTACAAAATAGTAAAATAATTGTTTGTTTATCTCTAAATTTATCAAAAAAATGCAACAATGGCTTAACTTCTAATTTGAGATGGATGTTTTTGTCAAGTTAATGAGTTGAGACATTCACTTCTCTACTTGAGTTATACTCGGACAAAATATTTAAGAAGGTGATTCCTCCCTGTTCACGTACAACAATCATACTATGCCAGAGCATAATGAATGGAATCACGCGCTTAAAATTGCAGAAGTTATCGGTATCACATGCCAACTAGTCATAAATGCATGTTTATTGCCAAAATGTATTACGCCAGTGGCGTATAAAAACTATTGGCAAATTAAATGCGGTAATAGTAAATAATATTAGATGAAAGTAGGTTGGTTATCTATTTTTGTAGTAATAATCATTTATTTTTATAATTTTGTTTT